GGAACAGAGCATTCCTGAAAAATGTCCGAGGATAATTCAATAAATAAATAAATATAGAACAAAACAAATATTTTTAAAAGGAAAACAATAATAGTGGAAGAGGTTCAAAAGGGAAGAAAATGAAAGGAGTGAGAAGGAGGATGTGAAGACCCTGAGTGGGGGTGAGGTTAGGCTGTCCCAGGGACGGAAGCTCAAAGAATAAGATCAAGAACATAAAAGCTAATCATTGTATCCCAAAACAAGAGCTGAAGGCCTGCAGTCGTGTTAATGAGGTGAGGGAAAACAATTGGAGCTGTTTTGGCCATCAGCTCGTTCCAGTCTGTCTTTCCTCTGATGAGCCTTTAAAGGGCTTTTCATCTCTGTTCAGTCTCATCCGGGCAATTACTGCACGAACAAATCATGCCCATTCCAAGATGGCAGGATAAATAACTGTGATGCAGAATGAAAATACTACCCTCCCTCTTCCTTTCTCTGTCTTCCTATCTACACCTCTTTCCCCCCTACAGTTTCCCTCTTGCTGACACATGTGGGCGCTCTCACGTTCACTCCTGGCACACAGACAAAAGCTCTGCAATCAACACACACTGACTGCCCAGTCTGTCCTGTCATGACAGTGAAATCAAGAGGTGGCACTATGCTATGCTCACACACTAAAGACTTGTTGTTAAAGCTGTGTGCTGTATGTTGTGAAATGCTGAGCTGCCCTACAACATAATACTTTTTTGGTGCTAAATTCATGATATGATATTTGAATGACAAGGGGTCAGTAACTATGATGCAGCTTTTGCTTTGCAACTGTGGTTTAGAAGAAGGGAGATTAGTATTTTGGCCGGCGCCATTTTGTAATTTTGTATCGAGAAGTGTAACAAAATTGTGGATTATAACCTTACGCTGAACAGAAGGCGACACAAATTACAATTAACTTTGATGCAGTAAAAAACCTACTCTGAAAGGCAGCCAAAATTGACATCATGGTGTGGTGACCTGTTAATCACAAGGTTGTCCCACCCTAAAGCCTTCCCTACTTTATCATCTATTAAACTCTAAGTGGGACCATCATTTACTAAATGAACATCATGCCGTGATGAAGAAGACTGGAAACTAGCCATTGAGACCATAAACTCAACAGGACAATGTTTAGTGAGGTCATTAATTAAGTGAAATGTAGAATCATTTTCTCATAGACTTCTATTCATCTGGCCTTCTTTTTGCAACAAGCGGAGTCGCTTTCTGGCTATTAGAAAGAGTACAGGTTTGATTGCAATGTGTGCAGGATAGTTGTAAAGTATCGAAAAATCAAATACAAATATTTTTAACGCCAACTTTTCTGATCCGTCTATTTGGACAGGGTCGGTATTAAAGATTGTTCTAACTCTCCCACACGTGTAACTACAATACCTTTTTCTTCATCGTGTGAGTCTATAATTGGGATCTTCTGTTGGTTTGATAATATATGCTTTGACACTTTAGTACACTTAATTTGTAAATGCAAAATGTCAATATGCTCAAGCTGATGCATTTGAAGCTTTGAACCACAAAATGCAAGTAAATGTATCTGCTTTCAAGTTCTGTATCGTTATGTGTGGCACTATGATTATGTTTTTCTGAGACATTTTGTTCCGCAAATCTCTGAGTCTGACATATTTTCATCTGCCATGTTCCTGTGATTAAAAAGCAAATATAGAATGATATACCTTCTGTGGGACCCATTCTCAGTTTTACCCAGATTTAGCTCAGGAGGCGCTCTCAGTCGTCTAAGTGTACCCTGTCTCAGATTTGGTCTGTGTATATCCCAAACCGAGCATATCATTACAGCTGAAAGAACATGGGGACAGTTGGCTGACCAGTAATTTGGCTTCCCTAAATGTTGTCACTAGTCATTCCAAAGGTTCTTCCCATCCCCACAGTCTGGACCTTACAGAGGAAACAAGCTGTACAATTAAGCGGGCATTTATAAAAAGATACATATACCGTGGAGACATGACTGTATGTGAATTTGATCCAAATTTGGACAACCAACAGACGTGACCCTTTAATCCAACATGCATGCAAACATGGAAATATTGTCTTTATTTTATCGCTTTATACAGTTTTTTTTATTTTTTTAAATCTGACTGTAATGTGAATTACATAACAGAAGGGGCTCTGTTATGCTAATGTTCTGTTTCATATTTGTATGTTGTGCTTCTACTGTGACATGTTTACATGCTTTATTGTTCAAAAAAAGCTTTATTTTTCTTGTCTGAAACCAGATGTCTGGACTGAATGTTTAGTTGGCCGGCTCTGTTGTGATTGGTATTGTGTGGTCAACCATGTACAATGTGTTAGAGCGCTAGCCAATAGAAGCGCAACAGTTACATAGTGATGTCACTATGTCGCAGAAGATAACAAAGGAGTCCAATGGAGGCGTTTTCAGGGGGCTAGTGTGTGGAAGAGAAACTTGGGGATTTGAACTCCTCAAAAGCATAAAAGGGCCTCTTTATGGTACCTGTATTTTTCTTATGGGTACACATTCCCAATTTATTTGGCAGACTGCGGATAGTTTACAAAGAAAACACCTTTTTTAAGTTGTAAGTTCTCTTTTGCACAGCCAAGGAAACTTGTGCAACCCTGAAGTTCAGAGGGGGAGGGGGGTTAAAGTATTTATTTAACTGTAGAGGTCGATCTTCCTACCTAGAACAGAAAATAACTGAGCATCCAACACACCTGACATCTTGTCCTCCATTTTGGTACTTGACCTGTCAAGAGAGTTTGCAAGCGTGCGTGTGTGTGTGTGTGTGTGTGTGCGTGTGTGTATGAACCATATATATAGTCTATGGTATGAACGCCACAGCGATGCTGGCAAATGACTTCAAACACTGTTTTTCGGTGCCCAGTAATAACATTCACCCGGTAAAAATTGACATTGGTGAGGCAGAAATGAAGAGGAATTTGACCCCAGGGATAAAAGGTGTCTTTCTGCAGGGCTCACCCTCACACGCTGGAGGGGAGGGAGTGGGGTGAAGAAACAGGAGTGAAGGAGAGGAAGAGTTAGAGCCAGAAGGAGACTGGGGAGATAGGAGGGCAGGACACTGCAAAAAGGGATTGAAGGGTTAACAGAATCAAAGAGAGAATAATTGAAAGAGAAGAGTGAGACAAGATTGTGATGAGGGAAACATTAGTCAGGAAAAGAAGAATGGGAAATGAAGAGAGAAGGGCAGAAAGGTTTAAGGGCCTGAGAAATGTTAAGAAGCACGACAGAATACAGTTCAAAGAGGGCACTCAAACAGACCACTAGGTGTCTAAATGATGAACCATAATCAACTGGTTTTCAGCTAAATCATTACATTTCATAGCATCAAGTGATCCTGTGAGGAATAGTATCTTACAGCTGGTGATGATCTTATTTTGGAATCTTAACACAACTTATGTTGGCAATTACTGTCCTGAATCATAATGGGCAACTTACTGTCTGGTTTTATAGTCTCCTCTAAAACTGATGCTGCTGATCCTGGTGCTGAACGGAAAACTCATTGTGCTGCCCCCTCTGTTGGCAGCTGCTGGTACTACAGGAGCAGCTTCCACAGTGGCACACTTGGCTCAGACATCTGAAACATGGAAAGTGATGCTTAACCTCAACCTCATTAGACGTAATCTACTTATTCAAGTCATGGTAACCAACTGCATGTTTTATAGCAAATTAACCACCATGTTGCACAAGATTAACCAAGAGTTTAGCTAATTCAACCTTACACTCAAGTTAGATTTGGCCTGCTCAGTAAAACACAAAAATAAGAGAGGCTGCTGGTGTTTCTATTACCCGACCAACCACACATAACACAGAGAAGGTACTGCTTATTCTGCATGAAGTTCTGTCTTCCAAATCCAGTTTTTACCTGGACAAAAAGTGTGTTTTAAAGGGTGACATTTTGAGATATGAAGATTGATTGATTGGAACATGAAGCACAGCTTGGCTTTTAAAAAAAGGATCTATTTTGTGGCCTAAAACCAAAGTTTAACAAAGCCTCTGTAGAATAAATGACATTCAGAGCCTTTCTCATTTCTGTCAGTAAAAACAGCCATGGACATTACAAGCATCTGCCTGATAAAACTGGTGTTGAGTCACTCCATATTATGGGTTAGCAGAGCGTTAACAGGCTTTAAACATGACATCAATTACATTTGACGATAAAGTCAATCAAGATCTAGAAAACTTAAATAAAGTTAGGAACTTAAGATGTATGCAGGCCTTAAATAGTGAGCTAAGCTGAGCAAGGGCTTTAGCTCATGGCGACCAGGAAGAAGAGCTGATCTGGACAGACTGTGAAAGACGAGGGAGGGGACATACTGAAGGTGGTGAAAGGGGGGGGACAGAAAAAAAGAGATATAGAAAGAGAGAGCAGCTTCTAACTATGGCCACACAGATGCAAGCTCATACCCACATTCCTGTCTTTCTTAACATTTAAATAAGCAGTTTCTTAACATTTAAATAAGCAGTTTCTTAACATTTAAATAAGCAGTTGAGGGAATCGAGCCACCGGTTCAGGGTGAAATGTACTGATCTGAGGACTGCTTCCTCATTGGCCAAGGTGTGCTCAGTAGGCGTGGATGCCATGGAGGACAATTTCACCATCCAGCAGCTGTTATCAAGGGAGGAGGTGGAGACCCTGGAGGACGGAGGGGTCAGTGCTCCCTCTAGAGGGGGAAAGATGGGAGTGCGGAGGAAGCGGTCAGCCGAGGCCCTGCGGTCCTGCTGGACTGAGGAGATCAGCAACATTTCTCCAGGACAGAGGGAGTTTGGACACTTCAACTCATGGACAGTGAGTGGGTGATATATATGGAGCCACAATGAAATTAGCACAGTGTAATGTTCAACCCACAGTGCGTTAAAGGCTGTAATTAAAAGGTCATTTTCATTTAAATCTTTCAATATTCATTTGACATCATTTAGCTTGATAACAAAATACTTTGCAGTGTTTGAAATGACTTTTGCGAAAAATGATAAATAAAAACACTTGACATACAGTATTAAAACCTTTACTCGGACATGATACAACAAACAGAAACAAGATTTAGAATTAATGACTGAAAAAGTATTCATTTTTTTTTCTTCTTTCAATCCCCGAAGCACACGATAGTCACTCAGCTCCATGTGTACGATGGAGTCGGATACAAACAGGACAAATAACTGACACGAGAGAACAATACAAAAAATAAGGGTGACATATTCCACTTCTGATTTTACAGTTCTTGCTTTTGTTTAATACTTTGTCGCCTAATAAACAAAATATGAATATCATAGCTGGAGAAGAGGGAGACAGGAAACAACACAAAGAAACAGCGGGAATTCTTTTTCCAAGGTGAAGAAGAGTAGACAATTAAGGAAGATTTGAGTTCTACCAGAAAATAGGTTTTCTTCTTGAGCGACTTAACGACACCTGATCCGAGTTGTGTTTCGGTCCTTACCCTTCCTTTTTCTCTTTGACTTCCAAATATCATCACACCATGATCAACAACCTCCTCTTTAACGTGAGCAATCATATTCCTTCCATCAAGTTCAATACATGTAACCAGATTCTGCTCAGAGGTGCCTCCTGCAACCAGACCTCTTCAGGCCTTTTCACTGCATCTCCGAAGAGCCACGGTTTCCCCCTCATGTTCTAAATGGTGGTATCCAGCTGCAGCCACATGTGACTGACACAGCAGAGCAGGGCTATCCCTGTTTTAACCGTTCCCTCTTTGTATTTCAGTCATATATGCATTTCCCTGTGTCATGGAAACGAGAGCATACGTTTTAAGGGCCGGGGGGGACCCTATAAAAAAAAGCACCAATGAACTGCTTGAGCACCAAGAGGGGGCCACACACTGGTGCACTACTGTCTCCAGCGAACAGCCCTTCCCCTCTCCACACAAACTGTCAGATCCTCTTAGGGTCCTTCTTTAGTATGCACTACACAGCCTAAGGTTAGCACACACTCTTTAGTCTGCTGCACAATTAACACAACATACATGACAAACAAGCACAGGGGACTGAGGCCCTGCATTAAAAAGGAGCCCAAATCGGCGTACAGCTTGGCAGTGATAAACCAGTGAGGGTGGTTCAAAGGCGGCATAGCACACACTGCCTCAATGATCATAATGGGATAGGCCTTGGCTCCAGAGGGCCTGTGTCAATAGGTACAAATGCCGCCCTGATATCTACTCTATACACGATGATCGACTCTTCAGTCACAGCCAGCAATCGTATTTAAAAAAGCATGTTTAATCAATGTCCTTATTTTCAGAAAGAGATTCATTTCAAAATGTAACAAAGATGGCGACAACAATACTGCTACACAGTCAAAAGGTCACAGCATGCGTCTGCCTTGAGTGCACACCGTTGCAACGATAAACATTTGTGGGCGGCGCGGTGGGATATAGGGTTCTCCCGCGGCGAGCGGGGATCGTCGCTGCCATCAAGTAAAGTAAGCAAAGAGGGACACGCGGCACTGAATCCCTTCCTTACAGCTCTCCAATGCTCGTCCCGAGGAAAGCTTCACATCCTTTTCAAAACAGTCCAAGAATAAGAGGATTATTTTACAAAAACCTTTCCAATGCAAAGCCAAGTTCAGCCCAGTGAGTGGATGAGCCTTTGTTAGGATTAAAGTAAAGCAGTGGAGACGGGGTAAAGTGGAGGAAGGGAGGAGGCTGTGTTGATAAAGCATCAGGTCAACACGGCTTTCCATCAGCCCTCCAGCTTGGCTCCTCTTCCTCTGTGCATCAAGTCTCTCATCACACCGCACATCACCACCAAAGCTATATTATCTGCCAGTCCAAAGGCGTAGCTGCAGATTCATTACACATGTACACAAAGCATACACATGTGGCCACACATACCCTATAACAAATGTTAAAAAATCATTAATACCCAACCACCAGCTCTCGCTCAAACCACCGGCCTGATCAGCAGAGCTTAGCATTCAGAACCTGCACGGACTTCTTTTCAGATGTGCATCAGTTCATCATTCTCTTCATGACATCAACACCTAGTGCAATGTTAAGAAATATAGAAATTGGTAATTTTGAACACATTGCTGTTATTTATATGGGGGATGGGAATTCTAAATCCTTTCACTGCCAATTCACTTATGTAACAGATAAAGCAACAATGTGCAGCAATAGCATACTGTCACTTCTTGATGATTCGTGGCATTTGCTCAGTCAGCTGTGTACACGACTGGTTTCATAATGATTCCCATCTCCAGGTATGAACATGATGCAGTAGAACTCCAAACACTAACATCCTGCACACATGCTAAAGTCAGCCTACTCTCTGAGAGACAACAAGGTTGCACTCACATTCATTCCAAACTGTCTTAGGACAGCTGTCCAGATCACAAAGCTCAACGTTTGGTGGCCACATATTCCTTGTTCACTCAAGTCAAACAACTCAGACTGCTAGTTTAGGCTAATCTGAACACTCCAGATACTAAAGCACTGAGACCACACCGCATCTCAAACAGTGCAAGAATGCTAGCAAATGTCGGTGCCCGTCACCGAAACCATAAGCGTGGCACCAGCTTGCGTTTCCTTGCAGACTCCAAAAGAATGGATCAAGGGGTCGACTTTTCTCTACATTAACAGACATCAGAATACTTCATGTGATGAATGCTTGGATGGAGAACAACTGAAACAACACTTCTATGGTTAGACCAACACACTGACATTAAGCAAAGCCACCTGTCTTACAGGTCATCTAACTGCCAACCTCTAATCCGCATTTCATGGGGGAGGCTAAGGGTCCTCTTTCAGAAGTATTTGGACTATCTGCAGGGTAGGAAACTCGATGCTAATTCTGGTCAAAGTATTTCACCTTCCCTTTCATCTTTTCACCAGCCTAACTGATTTCTAAAATACAAGAGACACTGGCTGTGTCTTGTAGAGTACTACGATTTGTCAGCCAGTCAAAATGTACAAGCTGGTGTTCATTTTCCATAGTCTGCAATAAGGGGTCGTAAAGTAATAATAACACTACAAGGGAATCCTGCATCCTAAGAAGAAGGTTCAATAAGTGGAGAATGACTTTCCTGTGTACTTGCATACTTTGTTTGCATTGATGTGAATGTGCAAGTTTTGAACTCAAAGTATTATTTAGCACCTGGTAGAGGACCGCTGTTCTCTTCCCTGCAGAATGATACTGTCAAATATATGTTGCTAGTTGCTATTAATTGCTTAGTATTCCTAACAGAAAACGTTAAACATAAAAAGTCATCAATCTGTGTGAGACCCCAGTGTTGCTCACCTTTGAGCATGTGTACATACATGATCTCATAGTTGATCTCCTGATCATGTGGTAGCTGCATTTCATATTTCACTGTGACGCTTCAGATTCAGTTGCACACACATTTCAATCACAGTAAATGCCAAGTGCCATTGCCAATTAAATCTAGCCAATCAACTACCAGGGACAGCAGGAGGCATTGGCAGCAGATGGTGCACAAGCAGCACTGAGGTGAGGTGTGGCCCTGGGCTCAATAATAACAATGACTTGTTGATGTCCTTAATGCTGATGTTGATTCAACAGCAACAAATTGAGCTTTTTCAATTTGACATATTTCACATTGACTGTGAACAGGCCTTTGTTTCTACACGAATCCTATGTTTTTCTTTTTGTAGTATTTACATCAACTGTACAAAAGTTGCAAGCATTGAGCCAATACACACGGAATAAAGTTTCCAAAGTTGCAGGTAGTAGGATTTCCATTATATAACTGATATCATTGTTGCATTACATGAACGCGACACGCTAGTTATTCAGCAAGGTGCATTGTTTACCAGACTATATCCACATCCAGCAATCCTTCGTGAGGAGCAGGATAGCAGAGACTTGGACTGATTGATGGTCAGGTGAAATGTTGCATTACTGCCAATTTGAAATCATTTCATCTGGTCTTAACAATTCTTGCTGCTGCTCTTAGTGTAGCTCTTCTTTTTGAGTCTGGTTTTACATAGGGGACCGGGTGCAGCATCCTAAATACAAAGCTGTGTGATGCAGACACGTTTTGATTTTCTTCCAACGGGCAGTTGATGTAAAGAAGATATTTTTGGAATAAAGAGCATCGTATCCGAAAAATAGACTGCCAGCTCGACTGGGTGTTTTGACAGGCGATCATACCGGCTCAACTGTTTCAAAGGGATCAGTCCCAAACGTCCTTATTGTCTGAACAGGAAGTGGGCAAGCATGTTCTATAATAAATCATCACATCTGATTCAACAATGATGCAATAATGACAAAATCCTACACATCACAACGCTTCAAGGTCATCTTAGGCGTCGGAGAATAGATGGTCATTTCTAGGAAACAGGAACATTTACACAGTAACAATTCACAAAAGTGCATAAATGACCACCAGCAAAAGGAGGATTTGGGAGAAAAGGAGACACAAGAAACTAGGATGCAGGAAGCTGTACTTCCTGTGAGCCTCAAAATGATATCAACCAACTGCCCAAATAGAGAAAAGGAGGAAATCAAAGCTAGGCAAAAAAAACAAAAATTCAAGTCATTCTTCTAGTCTTACAAAGCCCACTGTGCGCATCACGGTGGGAGGGACACAGCTCGTCTTTAGACAAAGTGCTCCCACTCCCCTTTTCCTGGATTTCAATGCAGTGGAAAAAGCTCTCATTTACAGTACTTCAAAAAAGAAACTCAAACCAGTTTCAGCATGAATATATAAAAAAAGCATAAAATATTTCAATATTTACGGGATTGGATGAACTCACTGGGAGGCTAAGTCTGGCTGATTGTTAAGGGACACCTCCTGACCAATCAGAAGTGATGATGATGGACAGTTGATTGAAATGCTAAGCACCGTATGTTAAGCTAAAACCATACATGAACAACTAACCGGATAGTGAAGTCTAGAATATAGAGAGGTGCAGCTAGCAGTGTAAGATATTACCGAAGTGAAAATGGGGAAGGTTTACCAGTTACGCAGAAGCAAAAACCAGCAGTGAGATGAAGATGTGAAAACTGAAGGCTAACCTCAAATTAAGACATTTACTGTATATGTGTGACAAGATGGTGGAAAACTGAGTATGGAAAAGGAGGGATAACGGTTAAAAGAGTGTGTGTATGTGTGGTAGCATTATATTGTTTTCTTTGCATGTCAATTGATGCAAGTTAAGATCTGCATGTGTGTGTGATGATAATAAGTCAGTGACATGGATTATGTGTGTGAGAGCCGGTACATTAAAACCAGCAGGTGCTGCAGTTAAGCGAGGCTCGTGGAGAGGAGCCGTAGACCCGATGTGGGGGGGGGCGTGTTGGTGATCCTGGTGTGCATCGGATCCTGAGGGACCGAACCTGGCTCCTCTAGGTGAGCTGGTGAGGCGCCTCCAGCATCTCCATCAGGAAGGTGTCGATAGGCGTGTCGCCGATCAGCTTAAAGAAGAACAGGTGCTCCAGGCATTTCAGACCAATGGAGCGCAGTGCAGGGAGCCGGAGGAGGAGCTTCGCAAACCTGCACGACAGAGGGAAGGGTGAGAAGAGCAGAGTTAGAAATGATCTTAGAACGTTCACTGTTGGAAAACGTTACCTGGGCGTAAAACAATTAATCATATCCTGGCCTTCAGTCAGCTGCCCTGGGCTACATCTTACTTTTTAGTGTAGAACTCCAGAGTGAAGCCCCCTTTCTTAAGACCATATAGCATTCATTAACTCCATTACATTTCTAGAAATCTTTTTATAGTGAGTTTAGAACATGGAACCTAGCTAACAAACTATGGGATGAATAGAGACCATAAATCATTTGATCCGGTGCCAAACAATTGGATAAAAGAAAAGTAATTATTTAAGAAAACACAAACCTTAAAGAATGGGGACACTGCGCCTTTTAAACTTACTGTTGCTAATCTGAAAGGAAGGGATTCAGCAAGGGCATAGTTTATATCTTGCCTCAAATGTTTCCATCAACACATTATGGATGATATCATTTGGTCTTGTGGCTTCTACCGGAGCGTATTCCATCTTTCCATCATGGCTTAGGACATAAAACACAATCTTCTTCTATGATCTGAATGGGACATGTACTTCCAGAGCCTCACTGTTGAGCTCTGTGTGTGTGATCCTACCTGCCCTGCTGATCGGGGTATTTCTGTTTGCAGTAAGACTCGAGCGATGCGTACACCCTCTCTCTCAGGAGCTCCACCTCACTGGGGATGGACAGACCCTTGGCATCTTTAGATGAAAAGAAAAATGTACATTAACATTATCTCTGTACTGGAATGAAACACATTTGACACGTTTAAAACGCGATATTAGGTGATTTTCAACATTCTATCTGTCCGTTTACCTGGGTTGAAGAGGATGATTGCTCGAAGGCACCCGAGCTCTGTCTTGTCCATTTGCATGTCTCTCATCTTGCTTACAAGCTCTGTCAACACCCTGCAGAGAGGAGAGGAGAGATGAGGAAAGGAGAGGAGAGGAGAGATGAGGAGAGGAGAGATGAGGAGAGAGATGCAGGGGGAATCCCAGTTCGAGACAGGAGGACAATCCCAGATTAGGGAAGAAAGAGGAGTTAAGAGAAATGACGGGAGATGGAAAAGAGAGCAGAGAAAGCAATAAAAACAAGAGGAAGAAAGGGAGGGAAAAGGGTAAGAACAACCATACTCTATAATCACATTGTTATTAATGGTTACATCTCAATGTAATGATTTTTTGTTTAAGCTAGTAAATGTATGGCTGAACTGCTGGTTCTGCAGGAAAAAAGAAAACATACAAGTTAAAGTAGAAGTTCAAACTGGCCAGGGTAGCAATGATTGTGCTTTTTCCTTTATCACCTTTGTGATATTTATAATTAGCTGTGCGAGCAAATGTTTGAAGTGTTTTGCTTCCAAAGTACAGGGACCCAAATCCTTGATTTTAGGGAACATATCATTTCAAATTCAAGGATCCATGCCCAAATTAGGGTGGGTCACGAGTTTGGTAAAAAAGAAATATGTATTAACACGAATTTCTGACAAACACTGTTACATGATATGTGTTGCTGCAAGAAGGAAGACTTGGCCAGAGCGAGGGAGTGATCAAGGCATTGCGGTTGTACTTTAATGTCACACATTCATTCTTAAAAATGCTTCACAAATGCTGAAACCTAAAGAAGTAAGATGTTATTCCAGAGCAAGGCATACAAAACATACCAAGGTAAAAACATAACACATTCTCATACAGAAACAAAAGAGATTCAGATACGGTAAAGTAATGCCAGTTAGGCAATGAGTGCATATTCAATCTTTTATCCCTACTTCTGCTCGCATGCCTTTAATATGGAAGAAAGAACTTGAAAAGTAAAGCGTAAGAAGTGATGGCCACCAGAGACAGTTGATTTGCCGCTTATCATCAGTAGCTGACATTTTAAAAGCCAACATCCCACAAAACCACGTTTTTTTTAATTCACACACAGGACCATGCAGGGCTCGACATTATAAATGGCTCGCTAGCCCGGAAGCACTATTTAGACACCCCGGGCCAGCATAACGTACTTTCCACTTGCCCGCTCGGCCATTAAAAATATTGCTTTAAAAAAATGGTCCTGTGGTATTGGTATTTTGACTAGCAATTTAGTTAAATTGTTTCGTTTATTAACGCTACAACATAGCGTTTCGTGAGTCGGTTGTCGTTGTTGGGTGAAAAGCAAACAGCTGTTTGCTGCGGAGCGCAGCGCGAGCAGGCTCCCGTGAGCGCGAGCAAGCTCCCGTGAGCGCGAGCAGGCTCCCGTGAGCGCGAGCAGGCTCCCGTGAGCGCGAGCAGGCTCCCGTGAGCGCGAGCAGGCTCCCGTGAGCGCGAGCAGGCTCCCGTGAGCGCGAGCAGGCTCCCGTGAGCGCGAGCAGGCTCCCGTGAGCGCGAGCAGGCTCCCGTGAGCGCGAGCAGGCTCCCGTGAGCGCGAGCAGGCTCCCGTGAGCGGGAGCGCGCTCCTTCACTACAGAATATCGCGCCACCTAACCATTCGCCACATTTTTTTTAATACCAGCGGTAACCGGCCAAGCGCCGGGCAAAAAACAATCTTCAAATAAAAGAAAGTCTCCGGAGTTAAAGTTAAAGAAGAGTGACAGGGAGCATGAGAAGAAGAGGGAGAGAAAGTTTTCAGCCAGCTTGATCGATGGAGTTGGCTTCTATAGAGTGGTGCAGTGACGTGTCCTAAAACCATTTTATATAATCTATCGATTAGATTTATGATTCGAACATTATAAAAGTAGGGTAGACATGTGGATATTATCCAGCTGAACAAAGCGTGCATGTATCAAACAGGTTTGTTTTCCACAGACCTTATTTCCAGCTATTTTCCAAAACCCTGTAGAGAAATCCCATTGCTTTCTGTCGAGGGAACCAGCAGCTTACTTCCTGGTTTTAGGCCGCGTCACTGCACCTCTCAATATGATGCCAATATAAACAAGGTCTTCTGTGGCTCTGTACATCAATGCCGACCTATGCTGACAAGTAGGCTAAGTGAAGAGTAGACAATATAAAAGGTATTGGCGAAATGTCCCAGCAGTTTAAGATAATGAAGGATCTAATCTAATCTATAGCCATTACATTTCTAACTCCTAATGACAGGAAGGCAGAAAGTGCATTATACAAATAATAATACTCATAATAATAGCAGACATTTTTTAACAATGACCACAATATCATTTTTTTAATAAACCAAATATGAACAATTGAGGAAAATGAGGAAGAACTGATGATTCAAATGTTGTAGTAGGCTACAAGTAGTAATGTAGTTAATGCATAAATTACTATTGCAACAAATGTGTTAATTGTCTTCATTGTTAGTCGGGCTAGTGGTTACAATGGTGGGGCCAGTGATAATACAATTCCACCGGCGCAGAGGGCCAGTGGCATTTTATCCTTAATGTCTACCGCTGCCATGAATACAGTTTTTTGATTTATTTAAATTGCGATAATGGAGGATTATGAGATCAAGTGCACCAAGAGGGTATTTCATTAATGTTATTAAAAGTAATTATAGGACAGGCTCAACGGTGAATCAGGGCATTTAAACACACTCTGACCTCACGGTGTGAAACAGTGTCCTCCACTGGAGTTCTATAGTATTTTTCCCACACTAATGCCCTGGAAAAGATAGCCCACACATTTTCATTTGCTCTTTTTGGTCTGGTAAGGCTCAAGAATCATTTGGTCTGGTAAGAAGAGGCATCGGCAAAACCATAAAAAATAGTCTGCAATTGCATGTGTCAAAGCCACAAACCAAATATGGTGCTGAATACAAATTTAAATCTCAGTGCTACTTTTTGTCACCATGACCTTAACCACACCCATTTGGTAATCAGGTCAAAGAAATCTTAGTAAATGTTCAGATAAGAATCTTTGAGCAGACACCGGCTGCCTTCTGCAAAGCTGCGGAAAGCCTGAAAGCATCAACCTGCGAGCTTTGCTTCTGTGTTTGTTTCAAGAGGAGGGGTTTAAGGAAAGTGTTTGTGTAGTGGCGTAATTACCTGTCAAATATGGCCCCAACCTCGGCATTGTGCGCCCTGTGTATTCAATCACAATGTGTTATTACAATGTCATTACACAGTTAGATTGTTATTACATTGCTTTCTTTTTTCTGAGCTCTTCAGAAAGTCAGTGCTTACTTATGATTTCATTTGAAAAAATGTCAGTGGTACAAACCACTTTCTGTATGTATAAAACTGTTTTTAAAATAGTTTGTCATGGGGATCATTTGTTGTGTCTCGACTCAGTTATCTTGTACCTGTACCTACACATCTATTGGACTAAATGTGGACCTCTGATAAACATTGATCCATCATAATGTGGACTTAGATAAGGGACCAACTACAGTATATTTAAATATTTAAATGTTATGAGGAGGTTAGGATAAATAAAACGAGCCAAATGCATAACAGCAAAAAAAAAGTTATTTAAAAGTTAAATACTATTAACCCCTCAAGTTTGTAAGTGTTCCTTGCTAAATCACAATACTTCATAAAAGGTAACTTAAAGTCCAACTGATTATTACGCTTACAAATGTTACCCGTAAATTGTCCTGTGTTTTCCTTTGAGAAGGTTCCTTTCTGGTATCGGTTTACATTGATAGCAATCTTATTTCAATATAGCTAATCAAATCATGCATAAAGCAGTTTCTGGGTCATTATATTAAAGGCAGAGCAGACGGTCACATTGAGCCAGACAGAAGCCTGCTGCACAACACAAGAGCCACACACTTTGAGCAACTCACAACCCACAATAGCATTCTTATCCTACTAACACACTAAAACATGGCTTTAGCTTTTTTTAACGAGCGACGAAACAGGCAGTAACCCAGGAGATTGTAGTACACTTATTCATCCATAAATAAATAAAATATATATTATACATTTGAAGATCATGTTATTATTTTTGACTATATGGTTGATTCCAGTTGGACTTTAAGCAAGGTCAATGAACTGTGGCTATGTCTGAAAAAGAGAGGCTTGAGGTGCAAATTGCACAAAACTGAAACCGGCAGAAAAAGAGAAAAAACCCAATCGGTCGGATAAGAGTACTATCTTTGTCATTGCTTGACTTTTTTCAGAATGTTACTGGTTGTGAATTTGGGGGTAGTTGTGGAGACAAGAGAGCGTAGAATGGCAAAGGTAGTACATATCTACTCTTTCCAGTTTGTAAATTGTTGAGTTTTTTTTTATAGTTTTGCGTCTTCTCTTTGCTCAATATTTATTGCAAAATATGTTTCTGTTGAGTGGTTGCGGTGTCTGAAAAAGTAGTTTAGTACGTGTGTTGTTTGGTTTAATGTTACTGCACTTGTGGGTCAACCTTGTCAGAAGTTTACCTCAAGTAATGCAAAGAAAATCCGTTCTGATATTTTAAAATGTACATCCTCCACAGTTAAATAGGATTCCGTGGCTTGAAATAGAAGCTGACACAAAAGGCTGCTGCTAATAGAGAGCAGTGCTTTGAGAAAAATGAAAAGGTGTCGGAGGGAAATTATAAGGCTGCTTGCCATAGGCCTAGTTAGCTTGCTGCAGGACAAAAGGCATATCATTTTGAACTATGTAAAAACTGTGCAATAAACAGTGAAGTGACACGTTGTGATATAGTCGGGGTTTGACAGAAAAATCCTCAATAATTGGAGCATTTTTCTAAGTCAAGGTAGGTGATAACAAAGGGAACAGAAGAAATGTTTCACTCAAAGCGGAACATTTGTATTGAAAACTGTCGGTGCAATCTACCCCTGGAAGATTCCAACAACTTCCCATTATCACATTAACCAGCATTTATTGAAATCAAAAGTGTTCATTTATTTAACTCTGCATAAAAACAAAAAAAAAAATATATTTTTGTTGTGATATCTTTATTCTTTTTTATTTAAATGTCATTAACATGCAGTATCACTTTTAAAGTAACACATGATGGTTGATGTGATATACAGAAGGCTGAAGAGGCCATGGTGGTAATAATGGTTATGAGATGTTTTCTGTTGATCATGGAATTAGTATACTGGGATCACAACAAGCTTGTTTTAGATTACTGCGTACTGCACATATTCTTATTTCATACTTTATATTCTATAATTCATTACATTCTATTTCGCTGTAAATTACTGCTTTATTTTATTGCTATTTAACTATATTTTATTAGTGTCCTTAAAGATGTCTTGTTTTGTATGGAGATTCTTTGTTTTATGTTTGATGTCTGCACCATGACATCAAGTCAAATTCCTCGTATGTGTGAACCTACCTGGCAATAAACCCGTGTCTGATTCTGATGACTCTAGACTCAGTGTACTTAATGCCACCAATATATAGAAGCTTATATAAACACAGACACAGACACATTTCTATATTATTATTTATTGTAACTTTGATCATGGAAAGACATTTTTTTGTGTTTTTTTATGATGAGATCACAAACAATTATTCTTGTTTTCTTTTTTTAATTTCGCAAAACAATTATTCCTTGGTCAGCAGAAAAGAAAATGTAAAACTAAAATATATACCCATGGCCTCTTCAACAATCTGCACAGTAATGGGATTACAGTAACATATTTTAAAGAACTTTAAGGGACACTCCTATTATTTATTCACATGTTAGTATTACATAAGCCAGCCGTTATCAAATGCTGCAACAGGTGCTATGCCACTGTGAGTGTGTGACCATGCATGGCTATGGATAAGCATTAGTCACCAGCGTCCGCGCCATGCGCTGTCACATCCAAAGCAGAACACAGCAGCTGCAGCCAACCAGACATCAGGACACAATAAGTTCTTACCCCAGCCACTAATGTAGCTACACCTGAGTAATTCATATGGATAAATTAAAGGCACATATTGTTTTTTTTATTCATGAAGCTCTCAGGATTGATGTGGATTTACAAGGTGATTTCAAAAAGGAGAATGAGGATATCACCTGGATTCTTAGGGTCAATCTATTTTAGGCCTAAAGTAGGTGGTCCTAACACTGTTTAGGGACAGATCTTTTCTGAGAGGAGTAAAAAAAGCCTTTAAGAAAGCACGTTTCTATGGTGGCATGTCCTCTCCAGTTGGGTCAGCCACCCAAACCTCTGACTGCTGGGAAATCACTGATGTTTCTGTCAAAGTGACACTGTTTGTGCATGTATGCGTTTGTGTATTACCTGTCAAAGATGGCTCCGACGCCTGCACTGTGAGCACTGTTCCTGTGGACATGCAGGCCGGTGGCCAGCAGAATCCCGTCCTTCACCGAGATGGAGCGATGGGAGAACGATGCAATCAGAAGTTCATTCCAGCCTGTTAAAGAGTCAGTGTCTCAATTAGGGATGCTCTGATCGATCGGCCGCCGATCGATATCGGCCGATGTTCACTCTCGGCCGATCGATTGGGGCTCTCTATAAAGGCCGATCAGGAGAGCCGATCACATGACGTAAAATACATGACACTTTTCTCTGTGCGCGGCAAAACCAGCTCGCCAAAATGGCTTCACCGGTCTGGCAGTATTTGAAGGTGTCTGAAAAAGACAATAAAATAGCGGTATGCAACGTGTCTGAGCAGAAATCCCTCGTGGTGGAACGCAACAACGACAATTTAATACCACGAATCTCATTAGACATTTGAGATTTCCCCTCGTCAAAGAATACGGCGAGTATGAAAGGCAAGCCAGCACCAAGTCAGTAAAAACTCTCTGTCATCCACTCAGTTGACAGTTAGTGACACATTTAAACGGCAGGAACCCAGGGTTTCCCACACATACTTTACTTGGGCGGGCCGCCCAGGTATATTAACGGCCACCCAAGTATATTTTGCGACCCATTTAGGTTTTTTAATTATTATTATTATTTGTTTTTTTAAATTGTATTTGTCCGCGACCACGACGCCATCTGCGATCGATTAACTTGTGGACAATGATCCCTCGCTCTACGCCTCCTGTACCCAGTCCCGGACTGGCCATCGGGAGGACCGGGGGGGTTCCCGATGGCCTAGCCTGTTAAGTGGCCTGCCTCACACAGGGTGACTGGCTGCCGACATGGCCACTGTCATACAGATCATAAATCAAAGCCCTTGATTGGTCTCTGTGTGTCATTCAAGCTCGGGATAACCTCAGCTCAGGTGAGGTAAAGGTAAAAGTCACGTATTCTGGTGAGACCAGGTTGAGAAATGCGTGTGTGCACCACGACAAAGGAGCCTCATTCACTTTACATTGGGGTTGTTTCCGTGGTGCAGACACGTAAATGTAGCAGAGTCCGTGACTCCACCACGTGTTAAGGAGTCGTGGTGGAGTCACATATTCTGGTGAGACCAGGTTGCAGGTAAAGGACTCACTGAGTGTTTAGATAGTTAACTTAGTCTAAGTTCTCAGTGGGTCTCAAACGTTTTGGTCACCATTTATGTAAACACATATTTCCATTTGAGGGGGTAGTGATTAGTCAAAAAGCATGAATAATAATTTAAAAAAAGTTAACTAGGTGAAAAAAGGAAAGATACACTTTTAAAACTTGTTGAGAGCTAAAACTAGTCTTTGCTGAGGAGCAGGGGGGAGAGAGAGGAGGGAGAGGAGGGAGAGGAGGGAGAGGAGGGAGAGGAGGGAGAGGAGGGAGAGGAGGGAGAGGAGGGAGACAGGTGAGGCTGGTTCAGGAGCCCAGACACACACAACTATAAATGAACCAAAAATAAATAAATAAGTTTCAGTGTTTTTTTCATATTGGAAATGGGATGTTATTGGTTATGGCCATGTTCTTATGATTATTGAAATGTATACAGTTCTGTTTCATATAGGTGTTTCCATAGATCTAGTCTCTTTATTTTCCCCTCAAAGTGCACCAGATTGATGCATTTAACTCTAAAATGTAAAACAAATCTTACCGGGGGTCCACCCCCACTTAAAATCACATGGATAGGTTCCTAAATACATTTACAATTTGTTTTAAATAATAACCCACGTCCATATGTTTATTTGTGGGTAGTAGATTTAAACTATAGGGCTATCACCATGGGCCCTGCCTGTACCTGTTCGCTCTGCCATCGCTTGAAGGGTCTGCTAACAAGCGACCAACAGAAAGGTTAATGTTAATGTTGTTGCACATCACCTCTATTTTATCTACCTCTGGAACAAGCTAAACTAATTATAAATATATGTATTCTTCACAGTCGGGTCACTCATTACTGGATCAGCGAGCTGCATGAGACGGATACTGACAGGCTGTCAGGGAATGGAGAGGGAGAGAGAGAGGGGGAAAGGGGGAGAGAGGGAGGGGGAGAGAGAGGAAAAGAGAGCGCTTCCGCTCATTTCTCCCGTGTTATTATCCAAAGTTAATGTAAACTTGAATAATGTACATCATTTGAATGTAATAATTATGTTGGTTGTTGTTTGTGGAAGCGCATCATGTATTTAAACATTTATCTGAACTTTTCGATCCGTTACGATTATAAACTGAAGCAATATAAAAATGAGCCCCATTAACTGAGTTTTAAAACGTCACTTTAAATGGAAGATCCCTAAAGCCCCCACCCACCCTATGATCGGATCGGCCGATACTGATTCTGGTGATCGGACCCAAAAACACCGATCCCTAGTCTCAATATTTCTAGTGAAATAAAAGTCTAAATATTCTACAGTTTTTTTTGTTTCATATGCTTCACATAACAAAAGTATTGTTCAAACCCTCTCATTTGACATGGCTGTAGGAGACCATTACAAAAAAAAGTATTTCTTTAGTACTGAGTCTTCCAGGTTTTTTGAGATTATGGACACTAAAATTTAGTTCTATATTTTAAAAGAAAAAGGCAAAGACATACACCAGATTGCCTGAAGACTTCATCAAAGAAAGCAATATGATAATAGTAAATGTGTGTGTATATATATATATAAAATATAACAATACAGGGTTTACTACTTAATCTGTTAGGTTTTTAAATGTGAAATATTGGATTTACATTACAAAAGCAGTGTTTGTCTAACATTGTCTAATGTTTTTAAGGTCATTAACATACATTACTCAGACCAACTGCTATAAGGAATCACATTGGTATTAAAGAACAATTTGATGGAGGAGCGCAAAACCTCGCAGTAATTGTTGTTTTGTAACGCAACCATTTCATTGTTTTTCCCCCCCCTATTTATTTTCTTTATACATGTTCCCTGTACTGTTGACACTGCTTTGTTGAATTGGAAAATATAAAAACATGATTTTCTTTTTTTTTTGGAATCCCTATTGATCCATGAACCCTTTTTGAGGGAGACCCACCTGCCCGCAGCAGGATGACCTGGTCGTCCAGGGCCAGCTCAGAGAAGTGAGGGATCCTCTTAGCCCACTCCACCAGGGTGAAGAGCTGCTTGTCTGCGGCCTGACAGATGTTGGTCACTGGATCGTTGGGCTGAAGAAAGCAGATTTAGAGTTTGGGAATTATTTCCTCTTTGAACTACAAATATAAACTGAAAATCATCAAATATTTGAAAAAACAGTCATTACGAATTTTGCAGAAAGCTCCTCAAATGGATGCATTTTGTGGTTCATTTCCACCATTCAGACTACTCACAGAGCTGCCACCTGAACTTCCATCAGCATGAAGCTCCGTCTTCTGCTCTATAGCCACCTCCGCTTCCAAAATCTTCTCCACCGGCATCTCCTCGTTCACCACGCTAGTCGACTCCACCTCGTCTTCTCGTTCCCTGTTCCTCTGCCGTTCCTCTTGGACAGCTGCAGGGTTGGAGGGAGAGGAGCACAGAGGAACACAATGAAGGACAAGAAAAGGGAGGAAGAATAGGATGATCAGAGTAAATGTTGGTGGGAAGGATGGGCGAATGCAGGTCAATAGGAAACAATGAAGGAGCAGGAATGGCACAAAGGTGAAGGAATGGAGGAAGATAGAGAAGAGCATAATTAGAGACAACAAGAAGAACGCAGCAAAATAAAATAAAAGCAGTGGAAGAGGAAATGACCGAAGGATAAGTAGAATGTGCCACCAGACAACCGAATGGAGAAAGAGAGAGGTTCAAACATGACGATGAAGAAGTTGCATACAAAAAGGACAGGGGGAAGTAAAAGTGCAAGACCAGAACAACATAGATGTGAAAACGAGTGAAACAAAATACAAATATATACAATTCATAATAAGTCTCTCATGCTATCTTTCATACTTCTTTCAGGCCCACTACCAATATGGATGTAAAGATATTTACAGCAACATTCAGGAGGGACTAACAATCTTAAAGTGAGCATTTTGCCAACATTTAAATAAATAAGTGTATTTCCTTAATCCCTTACACAGATTAAGAGGATTAGTTTTTGTTTTCATGAAGTTCAAGAAAGAAGGTTGCTGTAAAAAGGCAGGAGCAATCAGTTCTACTTAAGTGCATATGTATAACCCCCCCATTTGGAAGTTTTGTTGAATCAATCATTTGACAAATGATGGATGGAGAGTTTATCCATTTCTGGATAACTGCATAGGATCTTTTGATATACAGAACAGCTTTTCAGGTGATCAAAGATGATTTGGAGGAATTAAATATGTCATCCTATTTTGTAAAAAGATGTGTTTTTTAAAGTCAACCACCCACACACAGTAGACAGAGACTCAGGTTATGTGACTGGCCAGGTCAGTGAAGAACTACAAGTCCTTACAAATACCAATGTGAACTCCCTTAAACAATTCAAGCTGGTAGTTGCAGCATACATGGGGAATCATTTCTAAATGTCAAATAAGTCATTAAGGTACTGTATTATCTTCCAGAGCTTTGTAAAGACATGTGTTATGTTTAGTGTTTCGGTCATTTGTACAAATAGCAGCAAACCTATCTTGATTGGGAAAATCTATTTAAAGTGACTTCATTACGAAACATGCACTATTATTCTGATGATTCACTGATTATCAATGTGTCCTGAATCCTGTATGTATGAGCAGAGCAAAGCAATGACTTTGTATTATTACACTTGATACCACTGTCATCCTGCATTGGTCAGTGTGTCTGTATTAAGAAAGGAAACAAAAGGCGAGCCAGTCGTTTTGAGAAGTAGAATTTTCCCGGAAAGCTGCCTTTATAAGAAAACACATCTTGATGGATGAGAAATTAAATGAAAATGCTTAACAACAAGCATTTAAATATCCATACATAAGAAGGATAATGCTCATGGACAGTAGGATATTTAGAACAGTGCTTCTCAAAGTGTGGTCCGTGGACCACTGGTTGTCCGTGAGCGCCCCCTAGTGATCCGTGAGTATATTGGTAACATTTCACATTTGAAATAAATAAATACATTTAAGTTTTCCGCACTCTCGCGGGAATATCTCTGCAATGGAGCGAGCTTAAGTTTCGATTGCATGATATAGCCCAGCGCAACACCTTCATCACACATGTTGCCACTTGTTTGTACCATTTTCAGGCGATTTGTAATCTGTTCTAGAAAAACGATGTGTTTTTGGATATTTGTGAAGTTAGGTGGTCCGCGAGTGTTTTTTTATTGGTTAAGTGGTCCTTGATATGAAAAAGTTTGAGAAACACTGATTTAGGGTAAAGGAGGATGACGAATAAAAAGAGTATGCATTCTAAGCAACCGTCACTGCGTCTGTAAAAGGTTTTTAAAACAATAAGGGAAGGGATTTCTTTGAAAACTGGCAACAAAGTCTGGAAAGACCTTTTAAACTAGCTCCTTTTCATAGATGTCAAATCTCTCTGCTTCTTGCTCACTCATACAGACAGACACACGCCCCTCCCTCCCTCTTCTCCTTACATCTGTCGTTCATCTTGGCCACTACAGAAGGAGGGAGGGGGGGAGAGAGAGAACGAGAGGAAACAAAAAGAGGAAGAGAGGGGGAAAGGGGGTTAGTTTTTGCAAGGCTTACCCACCCTTATCTCCCTCTCTATCACTCTGTACTCGTTCTTTCAATGCACAAAATAATACTGACTTATTGTCAAGCTAAAATAAAAGTAGCCCTGTCATTTGCTAGGGGGTTTATTCCTACTAAAATGATGTAATATAAGAAAGCTCATTACGCGCTACAGTTGGCTCGTACCGACAGCGCCCGACAGATCTTTGCAGTTTGTGCCCGCTTTCTTTTCAACATAAAGCGCTATGAGCATGAATGAAAAGGAGCTATATAAATTCACGGGCACTGTCACAACGCATATTTAATTATGGAGTTATGGAGTGGACAACTCTTAGATTGTGATAGGAGTTTTAAAGCAGCGCTGGCTGATAAGGATCATTTATCGTCTTTTAATGGAATCAAATTGTGAGGAAGACATAAATCAAGATAATCTTTTCAAGGGGAACTATTTTTAGTACTGTCCTTTTGTTTTTGCATCATACTTTACTGTTCAGTTAAATGTAATTAACAAACTTGACTCCAACTGGCAACCCTCATTTCACAAGCTTGTCCAACCTCCAGACTCCATTTCCCCAGAATAAACACAGCACAGGACAGGGCTCTCTCTGTGTGATAAAGGTGGACAATAAAAGGTCCACAAAGAACTCAAATGATAGCTCAAATAATTTGAGTATTTATTTACCTTTTTATTTATTTTGCACCTAAGTTCTTAATTCAATTAGAATAAACTCTAATATTTTTTTATATTTCTAATTATTATAATTATAATTTCGTTATGTATAAGGGACAGGCATTTCATAGTTTACTGCACACTGAGGGCCACCAAGGATCCGCTAGTTGTGTCCCTCAGTTTTAGGCAAAAGAAGACTTCTCAAAACACATCTGAAAGAAACCCTGCTGGCGTGTCCTGCAGTACAATTTTAAGTTTTATCGAGCAAGCCCCTGAGTTGGGAAAAATTGTTTGAAAGAAAAGTTTGCAAAACGTCAGATTTTCTTATGAGGAAAAGGAATAGTGGGCTTTTTATTAGTAGCAAAAGACCTGAAGATCAAACTTGCCACTGGGAAATTAAACCAAATATGTGTGTATTAGAGTAGGAGCTTTCATATATGCCCCTCACCCACAACTACTATTGGATCCTCTTTAACAAGATGTGGCATATTAGATTCTGTGGTTTATCCGTTTATCCAAAACAACTTCACCACAGCAAAGTTAAGAAACCTTTCAAAGACATTTCTGTCAGCTAAATAACTATCATCAATATCAAATACAACTTTAAAACCAACGTTTTCTTATCATAATTTATTTGCAAATACACAGTGTAGTGCATTTAAACCTAAAATTGTGTCCGTGGAAAGGTGAAATGACCTCATTTGTAGGGTCATGAGCAGAAGGGGCTGAGCACCGGCCATGAACAGGGTGTTCGAAGTGCCTCTGCTCTCTTACCTTCTCTCTTCATGCCCATGGCCAGGCACTTCTGGTAGCGGCAGTACTGGCAACGGTTCCTCTGTCTCTTATCGACCAAACAGTCTTTACAGTCCCGACAGGTGTAGCTCAAGTCTTTGCGCACTGTGCGCTTGAAGAAGCCTTTACAGCCCTCACAGCTGTAGACACCATAGTGCTTACCTAGAGGATGAGGGAAGGAGGGAGGAAAAGCACCAAAGAAGTAAGACAATAGCAAGGACAACTTGCTTGAGAACTGACATCTTCTAATTTGTAGACAAAGAAGACAATGCAAGGCAAAGAAGGTAAAATTGAACTAGTCTATTCACCGGATGATCTGTCTCCGCAGATGGCACAAAGGCGTTTCTGGGAAAGCATCGGCCCTGGGCTTTGGGGCGACAGCTGATTCAAGCCGAACGGAGGTTTCACATCATCTGAGCTGCTCACGGCATGAAGCCCTGACATGGACACTGTTGAATTTATCTGAAAGAATGACAGAGGAAAAGGTCAACACAAATAATAATAATAATAATAATAGATTTATTTTGTTAGCGCTTTTACAGGTGCTCAAAGACGCTTTACAGATATAGTGAAAAGAAAAGAAAGGAACAACAAATAAATATATAGTTAAAGTTAAATAATACAAAAACAATCACACATTAAAAGCCAGATTGAAGAGGTGAGTTTTTGTGAGTTTTTTGAAGGTGGTGAGGTCAGTGCAGTCTCTGATGGGTCGGGGGAGTGAGTTCCAGAGGGAGGGGGCAGCGATGGAGAAGGCTCTGTCCCCCCAGGTCCGGTGATTGGTGCGGGTGGGGATGGATAGGAGGTTGGCTTCTGATGAGCGGAGGCAGCGGGAAGGGGTGTGGTGGTGCAGCAGGTCTGTGAGGTAGGGGGGGACCTGATTGTTGAGGGCTTTGTGAGTAATGAGGAGGACTTTGAAGTAGGGCTGCTCAATTAATCGTATTTTAATCGCGATTACGATTATGGCTAGCAACGATTACTTAATCGAAGTAAAACGATAATCTTTTTATTATTACTTTTTTTTCTTCAGTTGAATTATTCTTAAAGTTCAGGGTAATCAACTGTTAAAAACACACTGTTCACATTTTTTTCTCTCCTATAAATGGATGTTTTCAAAGTCAATGAATAATCGCATTTAATAATCGAGATTATGATTTTTGCCATAATCGAGCAGCCCTACTTTGAAGTTGATTCTTTGACGGACGGGGAGCCAGTGGAGGTTCTGGAGGACGGGAGTGATGTGGTCTCGGGAGTGGGTGTGGGTGAGGAGGCGGGCAGCAGAGTTCTGGATATGTTGGAGTTTATTGAGGAGGTTGGATGGTATGCCGTAGAGCAGGGGTGGCCAACCAGTCAGAGGTTAAGAGCCACATTTGTTCTATGTTACTGCAAAGAGCCACATCAAACACACAGTCACTGATACCGCTTGTTTCAGTTTTTTGTTTTCTGGAGACAAGATATCAACCACGTCACTGATGCATTTTTGTGGCATTGGGATATATATTTTTTAAATCCTCTGGAGCAGAGAGAGGAGCTGTGGATTATTGTTATTGATTAATGCATCAGTGTTTCTTAGGGTCGAAAACACTAAACTCACAACTTCAAATGAAAGCGTTTAGTTTATTTAATAAAAGAGCACATGTTCAATGTGAAAAGTGACAGTAGTTATAGATTAGTTGCAATTTGGTGCTATATATTTAAAAAAAAATCATATCTATTTTTTAAACACCTTGAATTTCAGGGGGGGGCGCGGGGCTCCGTTGGCGGGGCGCAGCGCCCCTCCAAGACAATGGTAGGGGAAACACTGGATAATGTTTAATCAACGATAGGTTTCCCCCCCTCAAAGGTGATTGGTTCACTGCATCGCAGGTATTATTGTGATTGGCTCTTGGGCCACATCAAAATTAGACGCGCTGTCATCCTCTCATACTGACACCACACATACACACGTAGGAGAGCCGGGACGAAAGTAACACGGGACGAAAGTAACGGACCGATTTTATCCGAGCCCAAACAAATTTGACCGGCCAAATTACGTCAGAATTATCAGCATTCAATACTTAACAGACCTACTAAATATCAGGTTTAACTGTCAGGAGTAGGCAGGAGTCAGTGTCTCTCCCCCAAACTCACGCATATAAAATTCGATATGAACTGAAGAGCCGCATGAAACTAGGCAAAGAGCCGCATGCGGCTCGAGAGCCGCGGGTTGGCCACCCCTGCCGTAGCGGATGCTATTGCAGTAGTCGAGTCGTGAAGTGATGAATGCATGAATGAGGGTTTCAGCAGCAGAGGAGGAGAGTGATGGGCGGAGACGGGCAATGTTTTTGAGGTGGAAAAAGGCGGTCCTGGTGATGTGATTTATGTGGTGGTTGAATTTGAGCTGACTGTCGAAGATGACTCCGAGGTTGCGGATGTGAGGGGGGGAGATAGAGTGTGGCTGTCAATGGTGAAGTTGAAATTCTGGATGTCGTTGATACGGGATGGGGGGCCGATGATGATGATGTCTGATTTAGCACTGTACGAAACGAAATACGAAACAGTTTGGCCAGGTCGCTCCTGAGGCCTGTACTACGAATCCAGTTCAACATACCCTGGATATGTTTGAGTCATCTGGCTTAACTAACCCAAAACAAACGCGATCTCGCTAAGCGGTCCTACGACACTAAAATTTGAAAGTACACAGCCGAAAAGAATCCGCCCCTTCCTTCAGACTTCCTTACAGAGCACCTCCTCCAACACACATGAACGCGCAATGCACGCCCAATTACGGCACGCCCAGCGCCATGGGCACGCCCAATGAGGGCACGAGATACATTTGTGCGTGCACGAGATGGAAGGCTGACATACAGGGCGGCAATCCAATCCGTTTAGCCGGGCCGGCTAAAATGATTGGTCGTGCTTTTTACAGTATTACGGCTTCCACAGATGACATTTTTTTATGGATTTTTTGTCAAAGCACTTCAGATATTCATTGCTATCGGGATGTTAAGAGCATTCCATGGAATATAACAAAAAGTGTATCTCGAGCCGGTTTCTCAAACTTACCTACCCCACCTTTAATGTGTTGCTTAAAATAATACTTCTGCATACAGTATGCAGTGATTCCCGCAGAAATGAAATATACTTTGGGGGAACGACTCGGGGCGGGGAAAATGTTGACATTTTTTTCTCAATTCCTGCATTCTAGTGAATTTTCATAGTAACACTGCATTTCAGACAACCTACAACTGGTGATGGTGTCTAGGTCTTTAAGTGTTAAACAGCTGAGAGCAGTCACTGCTGTTTTTTGTGGTCTTCTTTCACACACACATCTTACCAAGTGGGAGCCAACACACGGGCACCGACCAAGAGGGCGCCCCACGCCAACATACGTGGAGGTGCTGAGGAAGGATGTGGGGGTGGAAAGCTCCAGAGCTGGCCGGGTGTATGGAGGACCGTGAGGATTGGTGAACCCGTTGGCAAACTCGTCTAAGGACGACCTAGTAGTAGTAGTCCTTGATTGGCTCACGTTCACACCTTTTTAGGGGCGGGGCTAGTGATGTTGTCCCGGGGATGCTTAGGAGTTGATAAAGGAGATAATCCCACTGACGTCATCATTTGATTCCAAAAGTGGGTCTGGACTCGCGCCCATAGAGGCTGTTTACCAGTATAATGGCTCCCCCCAAAGTATAATTTATGGGTGGCTCCCCCCAAAGTATAATTTATGGGTGGCTCCCCCCAAAGTATAATTTATGGGTGGCTCCCCCCAAAGTATAATTTATGTTTTTTTAAGTTTTTTTTACTCACTGAGCACTCATTGCCACCAATGCAAATGCAAATGAGTGCTCACTGAGTAAAAAAAAACTAAAAACACACAAATTATACTTTGGGGGGAGCCATTATACTTTGGGGGCCCCCCAAAGTATTAACATGCTGTGGGAATCACTGGTATGTATGTAAGTGCTGCATGGTTGCATGGCCAGATACGGCTCAAGAAGCGGACACAGATAAGGAAATATATGATACATTATGATGTGATATGAATGATAATGGGATACATCGACGTCTGCACTCACAGTGGACTGTACGTAATGTTACTTTGATCCGGTTACTTATGTTGTGGCAGATATTTAAGTAAGCTTTCTTAACGCTAATGTTATATTAGTCAGATTGCTCTGAAGATGGGAGGTGATATTCTATTAATGTTCACGTTCACACAGTCAGTTGATTTTTGCCAGCCGTCTTTCCTGCGACGGCAGCTTTTCTGTATTTCCTTTCTCCTGTAATATGACTTGATCGCTTTAAACTCCGCACACTGAGCTCTGATTGGTCAGCAGGCGGTGCTTTCACTGAGTTGAGCTCTTATCCTGGTCCGGAGCAGGTTTGCCATTCAGCATAAGTTACCATGGAGATCTACCCCGGTAAGAAATGAACCAGCCTCGTAGGACCGGAAACCCAGAGTTAACCCTGTAGTTACCTCGCTAAGCAAAAATCCAGCTTCGTAGTACAGGCCTCTGGTAGACACATTTCTATGATGATGTCTATAATGGAACAGGAAAACAACTGCATGTATGTATGTTTAACTAATATCCTCCAACAGTCCTCTATTACCTGTGGGCTGCTGATGGGGCCATAGCCTATTGATGGCGTGCCAGGTAAGCAGGGGGAGCCCAATGAAGAGCTGATGACAGAAAAAGGGGAGCCGATGCTACTGATGGGGCTGTCGACCCCAGAGGTGCTGATGGGAGGAAGGGAGGTCATGGAAGCTGCGGATGAGGGAACCAGCGGGGGCGAGCGCTGGCCTGAGGGAGGGGAGGACACAGACGAACTGTCTGGGCTACGGGAGTCTATAAAGAGATGGCAAAAGGGAGAATATGCAAACAGAAAATCCAATCATTAATATCTCATTCATAAATTATAAGGATTTTTGTGTTTGAAATATAGTATAATTTAACACAAATAATTTGGTGCAGAAAAGGTTAAAGCTATAGATTAGAGATATTTATATAATAATAATAATAATAATAATAATAATGGGATTGCACAAATTAAAGCTTATATACAACTAATAATTTGTATATATAACGATCTATCCCTAGTACATTACATGTCATTGTTTTTAATGTATTTTTGAAGTCAAGGTGCATGGCAAGATGGGTGGCAAACCAATGTGTGGCGAGAATGACACCAACACTTTCATGTTGTTACATTACTTTCCTGATGCAATGTCATTGTAAGGTGTTTAGGATCAAGGGTAAATTAAAACTAGACCCATCAGTGAACTTAAACCAGACATCACATTGAAAGCAAGTTACATTAAGATGGCATTTCAAATAATCAAGTTATTCAAATGCACTTTGCTTTGTTTAGATAAATGGTGGGATGTCATCTGTGCCACAAAATTACCCACAATTTTCATATGTCTAGTTTAACAACAGTTATGATGTGTAAGTATAATCAGTAAAGTAATAGCTAGAATTCAACATTAGTTAAACATGGGCATTTTTGTTTACATTCACGTTGTTGCATTGCTGATAACAAAAATGAGTGCTGTTATTTTCTCACCTCTACTGTCTCCCATGATGGTGGCTGGATCAAAGGGACTTGTTGGCAGCTGCACACCAAGGCGTCTCAAACAGCCTGCTATCAAACTCTAGACCGCGGACTGAGGCCCGGGCCGGAGTTGTTTTGGGAAACCAAAAACGGGTCTGAAATTCCAACACATGAGAGAGCTGCGCATGAGACAATGATGTGGCACAGAGAATGCCAATTTTGCCTTAACATTGTTCGACACAAATTCTATCCCTCATGAGTCATGCCATTGCAAGGATATGAGCTATATGCTTGTCAATTTAAGTGCTTCTGTATTTCATCAATTGTTTGGCATTTGATGTGACGTTACAGCAGTAGTTTGCAAAGCTGTCAGCTGCTAAACTCATGGCTAACAAATACACTATGTTTAAAATAAAATAGTAAACATTATAATAACAGCAGAGACTATCTATTTCAACTATGTTCCACGCAGTGAAGAAAACGTCCCATTCTATGATATAGATGGAGCCCAGACAGAAAGCAACAAACCAGCGTTCTTGCAAGCTAACGTTAGCCACTATATAGCTCATTGACTAGCTAACACTTAGATGGGCCAACCGTAAAGCTACGTGACTTAAATTAGCTATCTTTTTTGAATACACAATTCACAATTATACCGTATTGCGACATGGTGTTCACGGCAAACGTGTCGTTAAAGTTACATTGTGTTGAATTAATGCTATTTCTGGTGTAAACTGGCAAACAGGCTAAGTGCTATAGCTAGCTACGTTTAGCCCCCTAACCTAGCGAGCTAGTTAGCTCTGGAGGAGATTTAGAGAGCCAAGATTCCAAGAACAGACCATGTTAGAACTGGTTGCTCCACCTATGTCTAATTTCCCTAGACATAACCTAGCTACATGTTGTAAGATATTTTGACGGCAAATAAATACGGATTACTGACGGTTTAGCGGCACAGCTTCTTCGTATGAAAATATGTGACGACTAGGCCCCGTGTGTGTCTGTTTCTCCCCCCACTTTGCCTCGTAGTCAACCCTCCCTCCCCCTGCAAGGATGAAAACATGATGATGGTGGAGGATTTGGCTTAGTGCTCTCTAACAGTTTAACATTGGCGCTGAATCACTGCAAAACACTGCAGCCCGATTTGCTTAAAGGCAGAAGAAGGGATGTGTGTGTCTCACATGTCAGTGAGGGAGACGCATCGAGAGCAAGAGGTCAAGAGGTCAAGACAAGTTCAGCTCAGTGAGTGTGTAATTTGCTCAAAAGGTTATTGGAGGACATTGGTAAACCTGATGCAATGGAAAACAAACAAGTATGATACATCACATTTGTATTATCAGTGTTCAAATAGAGAATGATATCTGCTCATCTTATACTTGAAGGAGCGGCAAACATACAGACTGGTGATGACTGAAGCTACGGGAACCTTTGTAAAAGCATAAATCGCAGACTAATCAAAAAAGAGGAAAAGCCAGATATTGGAAGACATTGGGTTTTCAATAAATTAACATATTGATATGTAGGTTTATCTCAACTCTACCTTTCACTTTATCAATTTATATGTTATGTGTGACTGGGTGTAAAACGCAAATGTCTGTTTGTGCTTTATACATTACATTCTGGCTTTTTTGTAACAGTTTTTAATTGTTAACATAGATATATTTTGTCTCGTATCCAGAAGACATCCATTTAAACATTATAAAAAATGTATATCCTCACCATCCAAATAAAAGTACACCTATATTGTGGCAACATATTCATACATTTGATCTAATGATTTTCACTAGCTAATTGGACAGCGTTTTTTAAGCAAATCCTTCAGGTGAAGATGGTTATGTAAGATGTAAAATGCAGCATCACTTTTAAGTGTCTACAAACAAAACAAAAAAACAAGAAAATGCACATAGTTTGGATGAAATGTTTTCCTTTTAGGGATGCTGGAAGGGTAGCACAAATTACTGTGACAATACATTTCTAAAATCATGTTTGGCCATAGGCATAGCATAGTTACAAGTGTTTTTTTGTAATAATCATTAATTATACAAATGCGATTATTTATTAAGTTTGTTTTGCATCACCCTGCCTTTTTTCAAAATTGGCAAATAGGAATAATTAAAAACATGTGCTTGATTAGGGAGTTGTTTAAACTGTTAAAACTGTTGTGCTTGAAAGCTGCAGCTGTGCTTTTAGTCTGCATTCTTGCTCTATAAGAAGGCAGAAAGTTTCATCACTTTGAAATATTAACTTAATCTTAACTATAGGCCTACATTTTAACTAAAAATGTATGTCTACATACCGGTACATCAGACGCAGTGTCCGATAACATGTAAAATGGCAATAACATGCGGCTCCAATAACATTATCTGAAAAGCAACAAAATGAGCTTCTTCCCCAAAAATCTGAAAAATATATTCCAAATAGAACATACAAAGCTTCTATAATATTCATTCAGGCAAGTTTCATTACCATTTTCCACATAGCAGGGACAAACACAGAACATACCGCCAAACTTTGTAAGTGACAAAATGCGTTATTTGATCAATAATGGGGTAGCATGTAACTCCGCTAAGTTACTCAGTTGGAAAGTTTATCATGGCTTAATGTACTTATATGGACCCTATGAACAAAATGGTACCACAAATGTTTTGCCACTTCGGGTGGTACCGATATTTGGTCTGGCCCATGGACTATTTTAGGCTCCAGCCATTTATGATGGTTGATCGCCATCAAGGGGGCTAAAATGGCATTACACAAAGTGCTGGACCCTTTTGTTTCTGGAAGTATTTTATAACATACATATGATATCACATTACATTCTTCCCATTTACAAAATTAAAGTTCTATACACCTGTGAATACACTGTGCCGAAAGATATTTTCCTTGATATTATTAAGTTGATTCAGACAAAGTAATGGATAAGTATATATAATGATCACACTTAACTAGGAAATGTATTTTTGAAGTTGCATAGATGAAGCAGACAAGTAAAACAATACAACCCTTATTTGTTACTAGCGTTTGTAATTCGTTAAGGTTTTTGTCCTGCTAACCTTTCAAGAGAATAATTACTTGTCTGGCAATTGGCTCAAGAAGAAGAAACACAGACAATCACAACTGTGTTTGAAATTGCATTTTTATTATCAAGTAATCCTCTGCATTTTCACCTGTAATATGAATGATGCACACACACACACACACACACACACACACACACACACACACACACACACACACACACACACACACACACACACACACACACACACACACACACACACACACACACACACACACACACACACACACACACAGAGAGAGAGAGTAGGCTACATAAGATAAGAGACACATGAAAGAGACAGTTGGGAGAAATGGATGTTGCAATAGTGTAAATAAAAATGTGGTCTTCTCCCTCGTATTTGGTGTGGCAGTGCATTTGGTATATTTTGGCTTGGCTTTCCTTGAAATTAAATAAACTATTTAATTAATATAGCATTCACAAAATCCTTTGCAGTAAGTTTCTTTCTGAATCACTAACACACCATTCTACCAACATGGAAATAAACACCATACAAATAAAAAAAAAGTCAGCTTTTCATTTGAAATCAACAACAAAAAATATGTCACCGTCCAAATATTTGAATGTACACTGTCTGTTCCTGCATGTGTGTGACCATGTGTGTGTTGGTGTGAGTGCTGCGTGAGGGATTAGCCTCAGTGTGTGTCCACCAGTGATTAGCCTGGTCAGTGGGCCTGTTGTGCATTCACTCAGGACATTAGCATATTAATGCAGCCTCCCTCTTGATCTCCCTCCCTCTCTCTCCCTCTCTCTCCCTCCCTCTCCCTCTCTCTCCCGCTCTCTCCCTCCCTATAGCTCTTTCTCTTTCTCTATACATATTTCCCCGAATGAGTTGTCGCTTCCTGCAGCTTCAATCTATAAATATCACCAATTTACGTCTCTCGTGCTGTGAAGCAACGGACTATTTCACCACACAAATTTCAAGGTGCCTGGTCTTCTCTTTCCCTCCAAAAAATGTCCTCTTGTCCTCCTCTCTCTCTCTCTCTCTCTCTCTCTCTCTCCCGTCAGATCTTTGCCTTTTTTTTCATCCTGCTCACCGTCTCTCTCCCTCTTTCTCACACCACCTCATTGAAAGCCTTTACTTTCTCTCATTTTCCCTTTTCTCTCTCCAAGTCTGGCCCCCTGAACTTTGTCAAACACAGGATAAAACACATAGAGGCAAATTCACAGGGGCAAACACAGAGAGGATAAGTACACACACATACGCACACACACCTCCCTCCCCTCATTCACTCTCCTTTTCTATCACACGCACCCCTACCACTGCAAATTTAGCAAGACCCCAGACGCCGATGCTGAAGTGCAAACCGGACACATTCAACTGTTTTTAACACTTTCTGCTCCTTCAACAGACTCCAACCCCTATCTCCAAAATCTCTAAAATGGGGAACACCAAATCTTCAGAGTCATGGAATATATGAGTGTCTAGCTTTGTGCCTGAACAGAAAAAAAGTAATATTTTTGAAAAAATTCCATCTGCATTTAAGATATTTGTTTCTTTCCTCTTCTCTTCTAACCCTAACCCTAAACCTGAAAGCAATACGTCAATCTCAACCCCAGCCTATAAATCCCTGTTGAAACTGTACAAAATAGAAGTTTACAATATTGTTTTGAATTATGGAGGACAGTGTTTGCCATGAAGTATGTGGAGTCTTGTGTGAATAATAAATTGCTTCCTCTTCCTACTTGGCTGCTGTCCTGCTGTCCACCTGTTGTCTCTGTGCTCTAATAACTTTTCAAACTAGTGATGATGATAATTATTGTTCACCAGCCTGTCTTTATCAGGAAGGCTCTGTTAAATAAATGTTTTCTCATGTTTCACCTGAAGGGCAGAAATGACTGGTTACATCTTGTTGTTCTGTTACAAGTTAAAGCTTTGAGCCAAAAGATTTTGCAAGCCCAACTTGAAACAAAACTAGAGCTGACCTCCAGAAATGTCTCTCACAGGCTTTACATTTACATAAACACACACTCTCCCTTATTCAATATCTCCCTCGCTTTCTCCCTCTTTCTGTTTGTCTTTCAGTGTCTCTCACTTATGCACCCACAAAGCCACTGAGTTGTATCCCGACCACGGTGGTCTGTGCCCTCGCTGATTTTCAGAGGTCAGGGGCGTGATGTCCATGCACAACTCCTGGTTTCACAAAGGCAGACGCAAGAATTGCGTTTGGACAATCAGCTCCGGACCCCCGTACTTCTCTTGGATTTCGGGAAGTTCTCATACTCACGCACGCTTGGCTAGTCAGACGGATGGCCTGCTTCGCTGACTGGGGACTTAAGGACGCTGAGGTCAATTAAGCTTCAATTTACTAAAGTCAGTGAGGGAATGGTGCCATTCCATCCAAATATCACTTCCTCCATCTGATGAAGTTCAGCGTTTGACCTCCGCCTCGCCTCAGGTCAGCTCATATCTATGGATAAGAAGGAAAGGATGGTCAGGCTAGAACAGAGGAATGAGCGGGAAGGCAAGGAGAAAGAAAGGAGAGAAAAGGGAGAGGGAGTAGGCTCTAACTCATGCTTGTCCTCTGTGTGGGTGACACCATGATGAACGAAGGGGTCACCACCCGGGGGCAGGCCCGTCCAAAAGGAGCCGGTGATGTGACCCTTTACAAAAGAAGGAGTGGGTCCCCCAACGGTCACACGGATCAAAGAAGACAAAAGCCTGAGATGATAACTCAGCGCAGCAGTAGAGCGTATTATTATCAGACACATGAGCTGCTGTGGTAGTACATTTAACTGAGGCAGGGGGGTGGGAGGGGAAAATCTAAAAACTAAAAAGTAAAGCTCTGACTCGCCCTAATCTGATTTGCCATATGCAACATTTTCTCTTTATCTGATTCGCTCCGTGAGGTGTTTTCTCTTTCTGTGGGAGCCCGTCTTTATCCAAATGATGTGGTCTTTGGTGAGGCCTGGCCTATTCATGGGAACCCCATGTGCTGTGTGCCCACCATTGAGGTGCAGAGCAGCATGGCCACAAAGGATGGCAGCATTTCAGAGTCCTTTCCTTACAGTTAAAGTCTCTGTTGAGAACAAAGTTTACATTTAAATCACAGAGCCAGAAAATCCACCACAGTTTAAAAAAAAGAAATCAGTCTTCAAATGTTATTTGAAAGCTGAAATATAAGTGTGTGTTTCTGTTCAAGTAGTCTATAAAATTACTTTGAATTCATGTACATGGAAGTAAATACTTTCTGTCATGAATACCAATGAGATATGAAAATGTTCCAATAATGGAAAAAACTTTGCATCAAAGTTTGCTAGGTGTCGAATATCTGTATTAAAACATGTGTTCTCTGTTATCTAATTAAAACAAAAATAGTTACTACATTTTTCTGATAGAAACAGGCAGTGATGCTGGTCTTAAAAGAGGCCTGGAGGCCCGACCAGATCTGGTGTACACTTGTCTTTAGGTACTGCCACCACACAGGCTATTTGGAAAAAGACCTGCACTGTTAAAAAACAAAAAAAGGTTGTAATATTTAAATGTACAACAGTTAATCAACTCAAAGCTAAAAGACATGAAGATAAAAGCGAAGTAGTACCCAGTGTTTGGACCCTTTGGGGCCTAAAATCTGGATCAAGAATTAGTGCAAAAAACAGGAGACAAAGTCCTTCTCAGCCACAGAGGACTCATCCTTACGTGTGCAGCAGACACCCTCTCCTCTCATCCTCCCCTCAGGTCTGGGTCGAGTTCTGGTTGTATCGCTGTCGACGTCTGACCGCACTTGTCCTACTTCTCCATCTTTCCCTCTTGCTGTCTCTGTCTTCACTGATCCTGCGTCCTTCTCCCTCCTCTTCTTCAACCCTTTCTGTCCGGCCCTCCCTCTGCCTTTACATTTCCTTCGCCCTCTCTCTCTCCCAATTTCCCCGCCCTCTCTCTCTCCCCCCCCCCCTCCCTCTCTCTCTCATTCTCTGTCTCTCGCCCTCTTCCTCTCCTCATTTCATGCAGCGCTGGGGTTACCTAAGAGACTGGGCTTCAATGGAGAAAATCTCCTTTGGTACAATGAACTGGGCGAGAGGCAGGGGGAGGGAGAAAAAGGGGGGGGGACAGGGTAGCATGGGGGGGTGTTGGACACAGGAGGGGTGAGGGGGGAGTGGAACTAGAGGGAAATATATAGTGAGATGCAGATGCATTCAGGGATGGGATACGAAATCCCCAAAAATTGAATAAGTGGCTTCGCTTGTGTGGGTTGGCCTCAATGGTCAGTCTGTTGGCGGTTGGTGCCCCCCCCCCCCACACACACACACACAAGTGCTACCCAGTCAGCCCAGGTGGTTTAGCTAAAGCAATTTCTTATGGATACTCAATTCGATGGAAATATTTAAGTTCCACATAGTTTTGACGCCTATAGGACAAAGATGAAGGCCATAGGAGACCTCCGTTGTGTCAGTGGTCGCCATTTTGTTTGTTTACTTGTTTGTTTGCTCTCTACAGGGACAGCGAGATGAGACCCCGAGGTCTCTTTACAAAGACAAGTGTGTTTTAAGCAGTGTAAACCCTCTCTTCCTCTGCACAGACCCCATTCCACTGAGTAATTACACTATCCGCCTTTAATCTACTCATAGTGTCTCTCCGAGAGGTGTTCCCTAAAGACGGAGAGCAACCTTGTTTAGAGGTTAGTTACTGAATAGCACCAAAACTGTTGCAGTTCATTTTCCTGCTGCACCTTATTGAGCTACTCAATGATGCCATTCAGTTTGCCGTTTGTCTCCGAGTTAGCAAACAGCTCCCCCGCTGCTGCTCAGCTCTGTGTCTTTACAACTCTCCCCCCCAGCCCCTCTTCTCATCGGAGGATGTGAGAAAACAATAGGTCTAATAAAAGAAGCATAGAGATAATTACAGCGCAGTGATGAAGTAAGCGCTCCTACGCCCCGGACCATAAATACCAGCAGTGTGAAATGGGATATGTGGGTGACTTTGGGGTGCCTTTATGTGCTTTTCTGTGCCAACAACGGCAATTTATTCTTAATACCATGTACGTGCCGTGTACATGCCAGGGGGAATCTGGGATATCTGTGGTAATGACTCTATCAGGCCCTGATACCCAGAGGCCCCTGCCAAGGGGATTGGGGTGAATGTGGCACAGGAGGTGTCAAAGTTGGGTTGGGGGTGCAGTGTGTGTGTGTGTGTGTGTGTGTGTGTGTGTGTGTGTGTGTGTGTGTGTGTGTGTGTGTGTGTGTGTGTGTGTGTGTGTGTGTGTGTGTGTGTGTGTCCAAGTATGTGTGTGAGACAGTGGAAGGAAGGAGGAGGGGGGCTTAGGGCAGATTGTGCATGGTACTCACCCTTTTGCGGGCGGGGCTGAATGAAGTTATTTCTAGGCCCCTGTCCATCTGTTACCGTGGCAGCAGCAGTGACCAAGGTGTTGCCATGGTGAGGTGGACACAAAAAGGCGTGGCGTGGGAACGGGTCCAGGGGTCAGGAGTGAGGGTCAGGGGGTCAGGGGTCACAACCAGCTGGACAGCACACAAGAGGAGGCCGGGTGAGAAAAGAAGGAGGGAAGGTTTGGTTTTCTTTCTCTTTTTGGCCCTTTCTTCTCTGGGGTTTTCATTCGGGTGGGACACGTCCGAAGAGTGGACACTAACACTGGACATTAACATTGAACTGGGGCGGTTAGATGAAAAAGAGAGGGGTGGGGGGATTGTAAAAGGTGAAGGGGAGTGAGAAGGGCCATGGGGTTCACACAGTGGGGCCCCCACAACGTTCAGGCTTTGGGAGGCTCGCCCGCATTACGCCTCATACCTACTGGTGTCAAATCGCACATAGCATTTGACAGGCAATTGACTCTGTTCAATACGCGCAAATGCCACAATTGAAAGGTTGTGGACGACTGTGTGTGCATGTGTGTCTGTGTGTGTGGCCGCAGCCTGCACTTCAGCCAGATAAGTGACCCTGAGAAAACAAAAGGCCATTCGACGACATTTTATTCTGGTAATTTCAAGCTCAAAACTGCTCGCAGACAATAAGACAAAGTGTAGGCGGCAGATAAATAAAGAGTTCCATCAGCATGGGAAAGCACATTTTCCAAAATGTTGAGGAAATTCCATTTTTTACCTATAACTTCTCTATCATCCTTCTTGTGTCAAATGCTTTCCAGGCACTATGGCTTTGAACATTATAATATCTTATTATTGTTTTGTGATGCGATCATTAGTTTGAGACTTGAAAGCCAACATAGGCAAAGTTGAAATACCAATTAAGTAAAAATAAATGACATTCAGGTGTGTTTCTTTCTTCTTAAACCACTAATGTACACAGCTGAGGCACACTGTTAAAGTCCTGCTTCATTGGCAGAAAAAGGTTTGTTTTACAATGCTCCATAAGATGAAAGAGTGAGTCCATGGGGCTGTGTAAAAAAAATTATATAGACATATTAAGTTACTTACACAGATTTTGCGTGTGATTAACAATAAGTTAGGATTACCTTTTTTTCTCCACAGTATTATAAGTTTGGCAGTCATGATAAAGCGGATATCTTTTTGATCACAGGAAGACTTCCTGTGATCACCAATAAATAATCTAGCAAACCTACAACATTCAAGATATGAGAGTGTCACTATTTAAAGGTCCCATATTGTGAAATGTGAGATTTTCCTTTTATCATAAAAGAAGATTCAAACTGCTAAATAAATACTGTGAAAGTTACGAAACACTCAATCAATGGAGAAAAAACACAGCATGTATTTATAAACTTAACTTGAAACTTCTGTCAGGACTGTCTTACAGTTATGATGTTACAACCAGTGATACCAGAAATGTTGTAGTCAATATAAAAAAGACAGAAATTCTCCAGCTGCAAACATCTAATGTACACTACTGTAGCTCTCCTCTGCCAATTTCAACGATTGGTTTTTCACGATTTATAATAATAAGGAAAAAAAGTGCACGTTTCCTGGAGGTGTGTGTAGTAATTTGACTGCACCCCGACCCCATTTTCCTGCAGCCCTGGGAAGCCCTTGTGGTGCTAGAGGTCATTACAATACCTGTGATGCTGAGAAAAATAAATAAAAGAGTACCGTCAAGTGACAGTCACAACTACATAATATACATATTATTTCAGTTTCTAACCTTAACATTCTGTCTCTGTTTGTTTCCAGGTTCAGCATCAATCAATCAATCAATCAATCAATGTTTATTTATATAGCCCAATATCACAAATGTTACATTTGTCTCAGTGGACTTTACAGTTTGTACACAATATCAGTATGACAATACGACACCCTCTGTCCTTAGACCCTCACATCGTACAAGGAAAAACTTCCGAAGAAAACCCACAGTTTAAAGGGAAAAATGGGAGAAACCTCAGGGAGAGCAACAGAGGAGGGATCCCTCTCCCAGGACGGACAGACGTGCAATAGATGCCGTGTGTAAAACACAGCATGTGGTTACTCAGAGCAGCTCACTTCTGGTGTGGCAGAGACTACTCTGGGCACTCTGTCTGAAGAGAATGTGCAGTAGAGCGCCACACGCAATGAATGTGTCAACGTTTCTATTGCCATACTATTCGAGAAAACGGTAGATAGCTAATTACCTTACATTTCTAACATTATATGCATATGTTACATTCTACAGACTATCATGTCAAAAGTCAACGTTTCTAAAACCTGTAATGCACCCAGTACGAAACATTTATTTCTTAAACATTATGTAAACATATTGTATGTTATGAAGTATGTATGTGAAAAAAACCACAATATGTGACGCTGAATACATTAAAGAAAATACAATAATAATAATAATTAATATATAAGACTAAATCAGCCAAGGGTCCCGTAAAAAAATGTGTATAGATGTAAAACTGCTCATCTAGAGGGGATAATAGTCTGCACTAGTGAGCAATGGGTTATCTAGGTGGAATGCTGTCACCTGTAACTCAAGCAAATCTTCTTGGCAATAACACTTTTTCTGATTCTGATCTCTAGCTGAGTTGTCAGATGTTAAAAATCTATCATAAAAATGTCAACAATTTTAAGAATGTGCTTTTTTTTTTAAAGACATTTGCTAGTTTTTGTATATGCTATGCACACGACACATGCAAACATTAAACAAACTAAACCTTTGTCCTCATTGCACCATGAAATACCCTCCGAACTTTAAACAGATTTGAGGTGAAGCTTCATGAAAGACGGATGTAGCGGCTAAAGTTCTGCGGAACTACAGCAGCAGTAGAGATTGAAATGTCCACCTGCTCCGTAACGAACAGAAGTAGACTGCAAAACCTTGAGCCACATGAGTGGATAACACATTATGACAACGTGGATAAGAAGTCGCTTACAATGCCATTACACACACTAGAACACACACACACATGCACAGAGTAAATACACAGGGCCTCTTTAGACTTTAATAGTTGCGGGGATCCATACTTCTCCTCAGAACACAGTAATAGGATTAGGAGCAGCCTTGGGAGGACATGGCAGGCCAAGTCCAACGCTCCGTTTGACACCTTTTGTCCTCGAGCCCTGAGACGCAGATCACAGCAATAGGATGAGGGACAAAGGCTTTTGAACATTGTGTTGTAGCTACAAATATACCCTGATGGGAGAACGCTGAGCTCCTGGTTCCACAGCGGATAAAACGAACAGACAGCAATTTTGACAACTCAATCCATTTTTAAGATGAATTAATGTGTCTTGTAAACCAATGAAATGGTCTCCTAACTTAAGTGACGCTACATCCTACAATGTTTACATATTTATAAAATGTAAAATGTGTAAATCTGTGCCCTTAATTTTACATTAAAAACATGGGAGGGAAAACGTTACAATACAATAGAAAGGTTATATCAATGACAC